TGGTGGCAGAAAAAGTCGTGGATGCCCTCATTGCAGATGCGGTGCCGGCCTTTAGAAAGGAGTAAGCTAGTATTTGTAACAAAGGGCATTCTAAGTTAGTCTCTTTCGGGGTGACAAGGCCCCTACATAACGATTTTTCACCAATAATAGACCCAGGCATCGGTAGACCAACAACCTCTAATTAACATCAGGTGGCCTATATACCATCAGGTGGACTACATATATGTCCTTATTCCTATTTAAAAACAATCATGAACTACAAAACGGGCCTTTAGAGAAAACAAAACATTCTATATTAACATAAACCAGGCGCTAGTCGGAAATTGTTACGATGTACATATTAAAATAAACGTGTCTCACATGTGCTTAGAATTATTTATAATATCACCGCGAATTTCTGCATAAGTCGTGGCCATTTACGTCATTAGTCCGTTAGAAGAAGTCTGAGAACACCACTATCGGCGATTCCTCAATGGCATTCACGTATAATGCTGGAATTTCTCATATATGAATGACAATGCAAGGAAAATTTAGGTCTTACGCGTATCCATTACGTAAACAAGTTAAAATGACGCATTGTAGTATTTTGAGTAGCTTAATTATAACTGCGGTTTTATGAAATAAAAATAAGTATTTATGTTTAATTTGCAGACTTTACGGGTAGAATTTTGGAAAAATTTATTATTTTATTGAATAAATAATTCAATTTAAACTTGAAAGTTTGTTGGTATGGTTGTTTCACAATTTTTTTTTATATATATATAAAATAGTCTCACCCTTATTAATTAATCGAGCATACACGCGATCAATAGAATAGAATAATTTTTATTCAATATCGATTATTCATTTGTGTAATTAAATAAGTAATAAGTGGATGCCTATAGACATCCACATTTATCCTCACAGCAGCATTAAGTTGCTATTTTACGTTGCTATTCTGTGGGAACATAGTCTTACCCCGATCGACCCATTAGTGCTACAATCATAATGTAGCTGCAGCGGGCCTCTACTACATGTAGTTTAAGAATAACCAGCAAGTTATATATGATTATTGTTTATTAGGTTTTTTTTTACAAAATATAAAGATATATGAGAATTTCATATTTCATCCATAATTATTGATAATTGCGTATCATAGTTTTATTGAGCGTGCCAGTCTATATTTATATCAGAAAGAATGTCAAATTTTTATCGTTATTCTCTAAATAGTCATCAATTTTTGATAAGCCTTAATTACAAATCAAAGATGTTTAAATTTAATAATTTAAAATTTTGTACAGTCGACTTCATTATAAGTCATTAAGCATAACTCAAAAACTATTGCTCAGACCTTAATCAAATTTATTATCATATTATCAAGAGAAGCACCAACTTTGAAATCGGTTGTTGGAGAAAAAAGTTCAGAAGTAGCATACTTAAAAAAACATACAGTCTGATTGAGTAATTAAAAGTAATTTTAAGTATTTTTAGTGTTCCGTACCTCAAAAGGAAAAAACGGAACCCTAATAGAATCACTTTGTTGTACGTCTGGCTGTCTGTCAAGACCCTTTTTCTCAGGAACGCGTGGAGGTATCAAGCTGAAATTAATATCAAATACTCAACTTCTAAGCCAACGCAATCAAAAGATACAGCCGTTTATTTAGGGAATCAAAACCTACAGGGTACTTCACGCGAACTCAGAATCTTAAAATTTGGTACGAAGCAACGTATAGCACAGATATAGTACAGATAAAGAAAAATTGCAAGAAACATAAATTTTTAGTTACATCATATAATGAAAATATTTTTAATAATTTTAAACTTATATACCTACGGATTCGTTCGGAACCCTCGGTGCGCGAGTTCGACTCGCGCTTGGCCGGTTTTTTTTTTATGGAATTGAAAATAAATATTTAAGAATATTAAATACATATTAAATTACACTTTAATATTGTTAGGCTTAGTTTGTTAAAACATATAAATATTTTATTATGAAAACTATACAAGAGATTTATAATTTAACAAAGTTAATGATAAAAAATAAATAAACAAATTTTAATTACTAAAAAGAAACAAAGAACAATTTAAAGGAACAAAAACCATATTTATATATATTAGCTTATCCGCTATTTTCATTAAAGAAAAAAACATAAATGACGATCAACCAGCAACACGTGTTTTGACCGTCACTGGGAAAGTATTTAGACTAAGCAAACACATAATATTATATGATTTAGGCGGCACACTAAGTCCTGTTCCTCAAACTTGTCGGTGAGTGGCTACGTAAACAATACTAGTCGCGAGGATATTGACCTTAACACATAGTTTTTGCGATTTTTCACGCGTCGTTCGATTAAACAAAATACAACATTGATTGATATTAATTTGGATTCAATCAATAGAAAAAGTTGCCGGCGATGATTTTTGCTTTAAAGTAATTCATAAAAAAGTGCAATTTTGCCTCATGGTATTGTTTAGGTACAATAGCATATTATTGAATAGCATTTTTGATGTGTAATCCTTTCGTGAGCTCACAATGTATTCAAGTGGAAAACTTAAAGCTACGGTGCAGGAATAGTTATATATTCTTCAAACCGACGTTCAGTCTCAATGGAGACTAGCCATTTGCGCAGGACAGGATAATAGTGTACGAAGGTGAGCGCAGGCACAGGTTCCCTCACTCTCTTAGCCCGATGGGACCACAATCCGACACGACTGGAATGAGAAAAGACGCATTACCAACTATTTTCGCGCTTTCCGAAGCTCGAAAGTGAAACATCGCCAACTTTGTGACTCCAGGCGGCCATTGAAAATTTCTTGGCAAAAAAACCCAATAACCGAATTTGACGCATTCCGAGATTGGAACCCCTTGACTTGCTTAAACAGAGAATATCGCCATTATATAACCAAGTTAAAAAGGATGATGCCTTGAAGCGAAACCGATCGAGTTTTGTAGCTAATATTAAATAATTGAAATTAATATTAGTAAAGCAAGTACCTACACTCTGTCTATCCAAATCACAAAAAACAAAGATTAAGTTTCACTAAATGATAACAATCGTAAGAATAAATAAAAAAAAACCCTTTAAGAAGAGCAGCAATAAAGGCTAGCATCTATATAATGGTTTTCAATATAAAAAAATCCCGCTGGGTTTCTTGCTAGTTCTTTTTCAGAACCAGCGGTAAATTAAACAAAAGAGTGACTTTCAATAAGTATTATTTGTAGTCTATATTGAATAAACAGCTTTCTGTTTAAATAAAACTAATTTTACGGATTTTATCGCGTACCTTATTTATGTTCTAGACATTTCGAGCACTTTACAGCACGCATGGTCACGGGGGAGGGGGGGGGGGGGGGGCTGAGGAGTATAACGTTTTATTAATTTTTGTTCCGATCTACGCAGTTTGAAATTAATAATATATAATCTAGAGGTAGCCGTGGTTAACTATGACATTGGGACGTCATAAACTTCAGTCCCCCCAGTGTACGCGTAAATATAAGAAATCATTAAGCTTTCTGTTTCTGTTTCTATCACAAATTACTACTAAATGTTAATTAGTCTCAATAAATATTCTTACCATTTAATGGATATTAATGTCAGGTCAGATTTTATTGCTTCATTTTGTAGACCAAGGACTAATCTATTGCTGGTTTTGTTTAGCGGTAATTAAAAGAGATTTTTCAATACAAGTTTTTTTGCTTATGATATTTTTTGTGAATATACATGGTAGAGCCACGCTGCAGCTATATTTAGTTGTAGCACGAAGTAAAACAGCAGCTTCTTTCAGCTGTGTTTCGTATGGTGAGTGTAGATAACCGGAGACCCTTTTTACAGGAAACGATGCATTCCACCTTAGTCCTCAGGAGGACTTACCATCAGGTGGACTGTGTGCTCGTTATTCAACCTTAATCTATAAACAATTTTAATTAAAAATTTTGTACAGCCGACTTCAATATAAGTTATTTATAATAACTCAAAAACTATTAGTCTGATCTTGATTAAATTCATATGGGACCACACGAGATGTATCAGCTTTCATATAAAAAAAGAATTATCGAAATCGGTTCACCCAACAAAAAGTTATGAGTTAACACACATTAAAAAACAAAAAAATGCAGTCGAATTGAGTACCGTCTCCTTTTTGGAAGTCGGCAGAAAAAAGAATATATCTGCATTATCGACCTTTTTCAAATCTACAAAAATGTGAAGTATATTTTCGAAAATACCCAGTACAATAATAATACAAGACAGTTTCAATATATAAATTGCACAAGGACAAACATCTAGATGCGAAACAATTATTTTTGATATCCATACATACATATTATGTTCTCTGTGGATTTATACGAGACCATCTATAAAGTACTGCTATTTGATAAGAAAAACAATCATTAAAATTGGTTTACTGAGACGAAATCAAGTAAAATGCAAATGAATAAAGAAAATAAGTAAAAGGACCTACACTCGAATTCAGACCTTCCTCATTTTTGAAATTAGCTTACTAAGAAGAAGATACTACCAATATATTTGTATATATTGGTAGTATCTTCTTCAATATATTAGTATTCAATATATTAGTATATAAAAGCAGGTCATAACCTACCTTTACATACTAATACCGATGTCGTTTTTTGTAACAAAATCCTTAATTTTGTAGCTTTCTGCGGTATAACTTATAGACTCTGTAAAACGCACTTTAAGGCAATCGACCGATTAACCTCACGCTCAATCAAGGTTTCGCCATGGGTTTTTTACATAGTCTAGACTCCAGACGTAAAACATCTTGATTCGTCTTAATTAACGAAATCATAACAAGTGATGGGATCAAGTGAATAGTTCATAGCAACGTAAAAGATTCAATTTCATGAAGAGTTATATACGGTTAATTAAAGATTTATTGCAATCAAGGCTAAGACATCATCTTCATATTCTTTACGTGCTCGTTAATCACCTTTAGTTGTATAAAAGTAAAGTAACAAACATGAATGCTAACGAAAAATCATGTATTTTTTTTTACAGAGCCCGTAATGTCCATCTGAAGGCAAAAGAAATTCAGCCGCAGCCATGGCGTGTGCAGGCGCGTTACTTCTGGAGACGCGGCCCTTCAGGCCCTTCAAGTCCTCCGAGGAGTACTTATATGCAATGAAAGAGGATCTGGCGGAGTGGCTCACACAACTGTACCCAGAACTAAGGATCACTGCTGAAAACTTCCTCGACCGACTCGACACAGGCGTTGCTCTTTGCCGGGTAAGTATTTTATTTTCATTTTACGTTGCACGAAATATTGAATCAAAATTCGGTGTCTCGAAGAACGTAACACAATTTGTATACCAATAAGATATTTTAGACGAGACGCGTCTCAGGCTACCAACGTCAATTGCATTATTCTCTTTAAATACATGGGAATATCGAAATTCGTTTACACAATTAAGTACCGAAATAATAATAAATAGTAGCTTAATGCTGCATTTCGTATGCCGAATGTAGAGAACCAGGGACCATTTTTACTGGAAACGAGCCATTCCATCTTAGTCCTCAGGTGTGACAACGCATCTACATTTTGAATCTTATTCAAGAATAAATTTAGAAGTTTATGGGCCACAGCATCAGGTGGACTGAGTGCTTATTTATCAACTTTATGCTATAAAAAATACATTTTGAGATACCAATCAAGACACTGTAATACTGGTGTGTGTGGTCGTCATGCATGCTGAACGCCCCGTCCCGCTGCACACATAAGCATGTCGGGAATGGAGAACGCAGAGACAGAGAGAAACGACAATAGCCTAATAGCGATGGAATGGTCTGCAAAATTTTAAAATTCGTGGGTTCGAATCCGCCAGCCGACTAACATCGTGAACCACTCACACACATGCGTTTAAAGCTTACTTGAAGTTATTGGCGGAAATATTATTGATGTTAATAGCTTCACTAGATTTTTTTTAAATATTTCTATATTTTCTATTTATATATTTATGCAATATAACACTTACATATGTTTATTATCATAATAAAAAAAACTAAAACTAAAATTTAAATTATCATACTGTCCTACTTCCCGCGGTAATGTCAAGAACGCTGGCTGCGTTGCCTCGCTGAATAGTCTATACTTATGCGGCGATGACAAGTTGCGGGAACATTTCCCTTAGGCACACATGGATCCCATATACCGATAGTCTCTACAGGAAATAGCACAAATATGTAGTCATCTCACACTTGTACCGCCTGCTCAGTTCAACCGTCGCAGTTTCTTATAAAATAAATAAATCATCACGGCTATTATGTAATGTATAAAGCAACACGTGTCATTTGTTCCAAGCACATTAATTAATAATATTTGAAATATTTACATGGCTAGGAGATAACCTATTGATGGAGATCCTATCATCGATACTCGTAATTTACAAATTACCTAATCCTACTACAAGCAGTGTTAGGAAATTCCGAAGAATTCACAATCGATAGTTTGTAACTTACTATAGAATAATTCACGCGTATCACAAACATAGTCATCAACTACTCAGCGGTCCCTTTTATCTACGATAATTTTTTGGTGGCCTCTTTAGCATGATAATTTTACATAGATTTATTTTGCCTTAAATATCAAAAATTCCTTTTTTTTCCATTAATTAAATTTCTGTATGCAATACAGTTGTCAATTTTTATATCAGAAAATGCCTTAGACTTTATATTTTTTATTATAATTAATTTATTTTATAAACAAATTAACATAACAAAATTTTTGTTACCATACATAAAAGCTAAAATATGTCATAATAAACTTATGTAGGTGAAAAGAAAAGAACAAGCCTTAATGATAGTAACCTTTCAGATACTAATATTTGTACCATTTACGGAGCTCAGCCGCCTTTGATATCATTATAACCTAAATTGCGGGATTAGATACACTATTTCTCTACCAGGGATAAATTATTGCCGTTGGGTTTCATGCTATCTTCTCTTAGGTTTCCTAAATATGACATAAGGATATCAAACTAGGCAGTCCCCTTCGCGGGTGCTCATGGGCGCTGATCGAAAAATTCTTAAAATAAGTTTCATCGACTTTATGACGCATCGTCGGCATTTGTTTGTAGTTTATTTTTTACTACGTCTACGTTGTAACGATTAGATAATAAAATTGTAAATCTCTTCAGGGTTACGCATCTATTTAATATTACATGCATTTATCCATCCTTGGTCTCTTAAAGAGCAAAAAACCATTTGCATTGAAGCTATGATTTCATTATCGTTTATTTAAGGACGCTGAAGCGTTTTAACAAGCACTTGTAAACGAATTAAGTTGTTAAAGCGAAGTCTCAGTCTAAATTTATCAGCAGCCACTAAACAAGTCATTAGAGATTAATCTGAAACTGTCTTTGCTCACAAGAAGTGTTATTTTATTACATATTATAAGCAAGTGCTTATTATAATCCTACTTAATAGTAAGTGGTGATGATGGTCTAGATAATAAATCTCACTGTCTTAGCGAAACCAAAGCCTATATTCACTCTTACCTTGAAAACATCCATATTGTAATCGGCCCAGAAAGACAGGCGTCGAGAAATTTAATCAATCCTTTGCTGTACTCGTTACGAAAGACGAATCAAACCGTTTAGTTCCTATGCGCGGAATATCATCAACAAAGTGGGTGCTAAGTTGTCCGATGGTAGAAAGGTGAGGGAGGAATTGAGGTATGTAATTTCTGCGAACACTTTACGAATTGCATCCTATAGAATACAGAGCAGCTGGCTACTCTGCGCGTTTGCTAGAGGCTGCCAATATTGGTTTTAACTTCTTTCTATCAAAGATGCTATAGATATTAAACATTGTTGGGCTTTCTGTTATTACCTGTTTGTTTTACTCGAACTAATAATGAAAATAAATAAAAAATTAATAACTTTTAACAAAAAGTAAAAATTGACTTCGAATTGCGGAAGTTATTTCTTTGCTACCCTGTAGTTTTCTTTTTAATGTAACTATTTATTGATTTTGTTCTATAAATATGTGTTTATTATATCAGCTTATTGGAAAAAAAAATAGATTTGATTCTTATATATCTGTAATTATCAATGAATTGCGACAATTTTGATTAAAGTTTTCAATTGGTAGAGCCACAATCATATATCATAGCTGCAATCAAATATCATAGCTGCATCAGGAATGGATAGGCTTGACCGGGGGAGGACCATGTTCTCAAAAAAATACTAGTGTACAGTAGCAATTTCATGCTGCTGTGTTATGTATGGTGAGTGTAGAGAACCGGAGACACTTAATACTGGTACAAGGCATTCCATCTCAGTCCTAAGAATCAAAACTTAGATGAGTAATCCAAATTTTGATTCTCCGAGGATAGATGTAAGCATCCATGGGCCACTTAATTTGCTAGCATCTACATACCGTACAGGTAGACGCCCGATGTGTGCCCATTTGTCGCCCTTATTCTATAGCCAACCTTTCGGTTTCTATATGATGCATTTCAGAGAGTGTGCGCAGGAATTGCATAATTTAATTCCTCTCTCTCCCTTCCACCATCGGACAACCAGACGTTCGGCCAGTCTCCACACTTTCGTTGTTGACTTACCACGCATTTGAACCAAACGGTTCGCTACGTCGTTCATCATGCGTACAGCAAAGGAGTGGAATAAGCTGCCAGTATCTGTGTTTCCATCCGATTACAGTGTGGGTGTCTTCAAGCAAGAGTAAATAGTCTTTTGTTAAGTCAGTGCGCTTCACCATCTTAGGCTACATCACCACTTACCTTCAGGTGGGATTGTAGTTAAGCGTTGACTTAGTATGATATAAAAAAATAAATAAAAAAACTGCGTTTGCCCAATGCGTGGTCACTTCTTCAAGTTTTTTTTTAATTGTATGATTTGCGCAAGTTTTTACGCAATATTTTCTTCACTACTGAACACGTGCAATCAACTTTAAAAAAATTGCAATTAAGAATTTCATCGATGTCGACGGGATCGAACTCTGTTTGCTCACGTTCTAAACATTTTTATGGCGTGAGCTTATCTCATTGTTCTGAATAAAATAAAAATTAATTGTTTTTTTTCTTTTTTTTTTTTATAAAACCGAAGTGACAACGAACTAAAATTACATCTGATGATAAGCGGTTATAGCGGTCTTTAAACACGTACAGCCAACGTCAAATAAACAAAGCAATAGATGTGTTGTTGCCTATGAGGACCAAGATGAAATGGTACAGTCTGTCAAATAAAGAAAGCAATAGATGTGTTGTTACCTATGAGGACCAAGATGAAATGGTACAGTCTGTCAAATAAAGAAAGCAATAGATGTGTTGTTACCTATGAGGACCAAGATGAAATGGTACAGTCTGTCAAATAAAGAAAGCAATAGATGTGTTGTTACCTATGAGGACCAAGATGAAATGGTACAGTCTGTCAAATAAAGAAAGCAATAGATGTGTTGTTACCTATGAGGACCAAGATGAAATGGTACAGTCTGTCAAATAAAGAAAGCAATAGATGTGTTGTTACCTATGAGGACCAAGATGAAATGGTACAGTCTGTCAAATAAAGAAAGCAATAGATGTGTTGTTACCTATGAGGACCAAAATGAAATGGTACAGTCTGTCAAATAAAGAAAGCAATAGATGTGTTGTTACCTATGAGGACCAAGATGAAATGGTACTATATACTTCAGGCCGGAACTTAGCAGTGCAAGTACCAATATTTGACGGCAGAAATGGGTAAGACTATGGTACCTACCCAGGCAAACTTCTACATAGAATAGAAGTCCTATCACCATCGAAACAATGTGTATTAATTTGTTCTCAAATTTTGAAGTAGCGATACTTCTAATATCGTAGTGTTAGTTATTTAAAATGGCAGTTTTTTTACTGTCATTAATTAGTAGTCGTTAATCGAAGGTATCTCTCAAGGTGCGTCATTAAGACCGACGTTCTTCTTCATATATAATTACGACACGTTTATTTAGTTAAAGCAGTTAAATATTTTCCTTTTACAAGAATCCATTTGTAACAAGCGAAATTCCAGTAAACGCTGAATAAGATGTTAATTTTCATTGCCATTGAATTCGAGATGTTCTTAATTTGGTTGCGTAATATTTAACTCTGCACAAATTACTTTCGTTTATTATCATATAAATGGAACCGCCTTAAAAACAATTTATTTTATTAATTATTGGTAATACTCTGTTCAGTAGTGGACTATGATGGGCTGGGATGATGATGATGATGATGATGAATATTCTAAACTATG